AAATGTCCTTAATATTTAAACTTAAAAACTAAAATCCAGGACCTAATTAGATGCATCTTTAATAGAAGCACAATTAACTAAACTTAGCTTACAAATTCGTAGGACTATTTTTCTAAAATGTCCTTAATATTTAAACTAAAAAACTAAAATCCAGGACCTAATTAGATGCATCTTTAATAGAAGCACAGTTAACTAAAATTTTTAAACACAGCTAGCTTACAAATTCCTAGGACTATTTTTTTGAAATGTCCTTACATAATCAATATATTGATTGAACCACAAACACATTTCAATACCAAAAGGTTCTCAATAACTTTCTCACAAAAATCTGTATCTTATTCCTCAACGAATCAAGTTATAATCATTATTTTGGACATTTCACACATACTTGATGACAAATACAACATTGATCACGATTAGAGATATACAAAAAGAAAAATGCATAAAAGCATAATCGAAAACATACCAGTACGCTGGTTCGCTGCAGAGAAGATGACAAATGAGAAGAGATTAAGTTGGACAAATTATACGCAGAAAATTTTTGTGGGCTGGGCAGGAGCGATATTGAGGGAGCAAAATTTTGGCTCTGGACTTCAATCANCAAAGTATACGCAGAAAATTTTTGTGGGCTGGGCAGGAGCGATATTGAGGGAGCAAAATTTTGGCTCTGAACTTCAATCGAGAGAAGAGAGTTGCATGCAGAAACGATATTGAGGGAGCGAAATTTTGCCTATGAAATTTTGGCTCTGAACTTAAATTAGAGAAGCGTATAAAGGAAGGGTTTGGGAATAAAAGAAATAGAAGAAAGGGTAAAAATATCTTTTCATATTAATTTTAATAGAGTAGTGGCTATTTTTGCTCAACATTAGAATTGGTGGATAAAAAATAAATACCACCTTATTTAGTGGCTACCACACGCCATTTTTACTATTTATTAACCTGAAATAATGGGTTATATGATCACTTTCTTATCAGGTGTTATTGAAATGTGTCAATCTCTTTGTTCTTTCATATTCGTATGTCAAGATCTATTAAATTTTTATATCTTTTTCGAATTTGAAGTGATTATTATTATTTAGGTATCGTATTTATTTTTATGTTTAATTACTAAATTCGATTAATCTTAAAAGTGTACATCAAAAAAAAAATTATTGTTAGACAACTAAAAAGATAACTATCATGTGTTACTAAGTAAATTCTCCCATAAGAATATTTTAGTAGATAATATTTTTGTCATTTTTTTAAATTTTTACTAAACATATATTTACTTATCAAAAATTTAACAAAGTAAGATTTAAATAATATTTAAGTAATAAAAACCCGACAAAACCGAACCAATCCAAATCGATATAATTAGTTTGGGTTGATTTTGATAAAAACTGAACCAACCCGGTCCATGTACACTCCTGCTCTATAACAATGTTCATTTCTTAATGGTCGTTGATCTTACCAAACATTGCAATCATGCACATTTCATACCACATGTTGCGGGTGAATTGGAAATCGTAAGAAATTAACAATTGTTGTACTTAAATGTGTTAAATGATTAATTTCATAATTTCCCTTTACATCTATTTTTGAAGTTGCTCTAATAATATAATCCATATTTCTTTTCAGAACTAATAAGAAGGGTGTAAAGATTCAATTGTAACAATGTAGTCAAGGGATTATGGTGATTTGAAAACAACTTAAGTGAAAAAGAGAATTTTACCACCAAAATATTGAAGTTTTAGCAATTTATTTCATATCAAAGCTTACTAACAACTGGAACATATTTTAATGAATTTTACATTACTTCAAGATGAATGGAAATGGATATCAATATAAGTTTTAGATATAACTTATGAGATAGATTCACAAGCAATCAAATTATATAAAAATAACACAAAATCACAGGCTCACAGCATTTACTCGATATTGAAATATAAGAGGAGTAAACAAACTGTTGATCAAGGGATATAGCATAGTTGAAGTTTTCTTGGTTGGTAGGTGATGAGCTGAATTTCATAACTCATATTCAATCATTTGATATTATCCTTTTGCTCAAAATTTAATTGAAGCGTAGGATTTATTGAATATCATAACTCATATTCAATCATTTGATATTATCCTATTGCTTAATATTTAATTGAGCTATATTGTGATATGAATTATGGTGTTTTGATCATTACGTGTCATTGCTAGAAAAATTATATTGCTAATTGAATACTTCAGGCTATCCAGCTTTTTAAATTGTGAGACCAAAGTTACGTTGTGTCCATAACTTATACTCAATAATAAACAATTATCATCTATTCATTATTTTACTGGGTTGACATCATATCTTATATTAAATTTAAAACCTCGTAAATCAGCTCTCAATTAGGGTCAGTTCTCAATGACTTGGACCAAGTAAAGTGCATCAAGGACGAAGAAGGTAGAGTTTTGTTGGATGAGGGTCTTATCCGTCGGAGATGGCAGACCTACTTCTATAGTCTCTTGAACGAGGAAGGGGACATGAGCATTGTACTGAGTGATTTGGAACTATATGGGAGTCGTTCTGACTTTGGGTATTGTAGGCGGATTAGAGTTGATGAAGTTGAGAGGGCCATGGGGCAAAGCGACCGGACCGAATAAAATCCCGGTGAAGTTTTGGAAGAGTGCGTGTAAGTCAGGCTTGGAGTGGCTCACCAGGATATTTAATATCATTTTTAGAACGAAAAAGATGCTCGAAGAGTGGAGGTGGAGCACGATGGTTCCTGTATACAAGAACAAGGGTGATATCCAAAATTATAATAACTATCGGGGGTATCAAGCTGCTTAGCCATACTATGAAAGTTTGGGAGAGAGTGGTAGAGCTAAGGATGAGGATGAGTGTGTCTATTTTCGAGAATCAATTTGGGTTTATGCCGGAGCGTTCGACTATAGAAGTCATCTACCTTGTTAAGAGATTGATGGAGCAGTATAAGGAGAGAAAGAAGGACTTGCATATGGTGTTCATCGACTTAGAAAAGGCGTACGATAAAGTTCCGAGGGAGGTTTTTGTGGAGATGTTTGGAAGCTAGAGGTGTACTTGTTGCCTACTTTATGTTGATTAATAACATGTATGATGGAGTAAAGACCCGATTGAGGACAGTAGGTGGGGACTCAGACCATTTTTCGGTTATGATGGGATTGCATCAGGGGTCGGCACTCAGCCATTTTTTATTTGCTCTGGTGATGGACGTACTGACGCATCATATCCAAGGGGAGGTGCCGTGGTGCATGTTATTTGCAGATAATATTGTATTGATTGACGAGATGCGAGACGGTGTGAATGCGCAATTAGAGGTATGGAGGCAGACCTTGGAATCTAAAGGTTTCAAGTTGAGCATGACCAAGAGAGAATACTTGGAGTGTAAGTTCAGTTGCGAGACTCAATAAGGGGAAGGAGAGGTGAGGCTAGACTCGCAGGTCATCCCTAGGAGAGGGAGTTTTAAGTACATTGGGTCTATTATTCAGGGAGATGGGGAGATTGATAAAGATGTCACACATCGTATTGGGGCGAGATGGATGAAATGGAGACTCGTTTCCGGTACTTTGTGTGACAAGAAGGTGCCACCAAAACTTAAGGGTAAGTTCTACAGAGTGGTGGTCAGACCAACAATGTTATATGGGGCTGCGTGTTAGCCAGTCAAGATCGCCCATGTCCAGAAGATGAAGGTGGCAGAGATGAGGATGTTGAGATGGATGTGCGAGCAGACCAGGTTAGATAGGATCAAAAATAAGGTTATTCGCGACAAGGTGGGTGTGACCCCTATTGAGGACAAAATGCGGGAGGTGCGGCTTAGGTGGTTTGGTCATGTGAGGAAGAGGAGCACATACGCCTCGGTGAGGAGGCGTGAGAGATTGACATTGGAGGGCCTACGGAGAGGTAGAAGTAGGCCAAAAAATAGGTGAGGAGAGATGATTAGGCAAGACATGGTGCAGCTTCATCTGACCGAGGACATGACCCTTAATATGAAGGTATTGAGGTCGATGATTAGGGTAGTAGAGTGGTAGTCTAGAGTGTTCATAACAATAATATGAGCACGCAGTCTCGCTATCTGTTGGTAGTAGGTTTCTGTTATTTTCTTTCATTGTTAACCACCTTACTATCTTGTTGTTTTATCCTACTTTTACATGACTTTTTGGTACTGTTCCTTCTTGCCTATATTTTCATTAATATGGTTCTTATACTTTCTGGAACTGAGGGTCTATTGGAAATAGCCTCTCTATCCTCACAAGGTAGGGGTAAGTTATGCGACACACTACCCTCCCCAGACCCCACGGTATGGGATAATACTGGGTATGTTATTGTTGTTGTTGTCAGCAATGTAAACATAAGGCTAAATGAGATCAATTAATTTATATAAAAGAATTCTATTCTTTTTCTTGCAATTTGCATGAATGCCTTCCATTCCTATTGCAATGTATTTTATAACATCTTTTATACTATTATTGTCTTCAAGATCTTTATACATTTGATTTATATAAGAGCATGTATGTTTAATTTACATATGTAGGAAAATTAAACATTGAGGGCAAAATAATTGTAATCACAAATATCAAGGATAAAATTGGTTATTTTAGTCGTAGTATTTTTGGTTGTTCACTCGATGTCCGATACTTATAGTAAGGGCTAAATAAATCCGAATTCATACCATGTAAGATTATTAAAGGAGAAATATTTTTTACTAAATTTTTTTTTTATTTCAATGGTTGAATTCAGGCCTCTAGGTAAGATTGGAGGGATCTTATTTGTTTCATCATAATTCTTGGTGATGGTTGTAATTTTTCATTTAGCATTTCGAGTAATCCATGGCATAATTCCATATCCACCAAAACAAATTATTTTATAAAAATAAATAAAATAACAAAAAAAATCAGGCCAGGGGATGAGTCCCCCTTTCTCCATTGCTCATTTGCCCTCTTCAACATACACCCCTCTCCTCATTCCTCCGCCCCCGTGTTTCCCAAACATATCTCCCAATCCAAATTTAACAAAACCTAATTTCAAAATCTTCTTTTTATGGATAGCCGGCGAGAAAGTTCAAAAATCCCACAACAGCGATAATAGCTAAAGATCAAATCTTTACGCCAAAAATTTGATTTTAATCAATCGGAGATGCGCCATCGGAAGTCATCAGAGGTAAATAGACTAGGATCGGACATCCTTAAACGACCCGAAACCGACCCGCCTCGTTATCGGGGCGTACGTAAACGGCCATGGGGCCGATTTGCTGCGGAGATTAGAGATCCGATCAAAAAGACTCGAGTTTGGCTTGGCACCTTCGATACAGCTGAAGATGTTGCACGCGCTTACGATGATTCTGCATGCGCTCTCCGTGTACCTAAAGCCAAAACTAATTTCCCTAATTTAGCAGCTATAACAACACAACAGGATAATAATCCTTATGGATTGAATCAATTTGAGCTTTTTCCTAATTCGAGACCGGCTTCTAGCAGCATGGGCAGCATGCTGGAATCTTCTAGTGGGCCTCGTGGATCGGGTAATAAACTGATCCGGATAAAAATTTCTCGCCCGGTTCTTCCGCCGGAAGATTGCCGGAGTGATTGCGATTCTTCGTCGTCGGTGGTGGATCATCGTTGTGATATCGATCAAACGTCATTGTTTTTGCCTAAACAACCTCTGCCGTTTGATCTGAATCTACCCCCTCCATCAGATGATGTTGATGCTGATGATTTACACGTCACCGCTTTATGTCTCTAATTACTCCTGTTACGGTGATGTATGTTTGTTGTTAATCAATTTGATGATGAAGAAAAAAGATAAAAAAGAAAGTTTTTTTTTTAGTTTTCTTTGTTAAAGCTGCTTACTTTTTTTCTTCAAATTTTTCTCGGGAAAAAATGATGTAAAACCCAAATGGTGGATATTGAGAAACAAAAAATTTGGGATTTTTAGATAATGTGTAGATTAGTGTACTACTGAGTTATGATACGATTTGTATTAAGAAAGATTGTATCTGTATTTGTAATCTGTACCACAAAAACATTGGATCTGATCTTGAGTTATTCTCCTATCTCTTGATCTAGTTTTCTTTGCAATTTTATTTTTTTGATTTTACCCTTTTGTATCAAGAAAGTTGGAGTTTATAATAAAAAGTTATACTTACTCAGCTTCATCGATTTATTTTACGAGTTCATTACAGTTAGCACATTAGAGATTTTCCTGTATTTGTTTGGGTATGTGTATGTGCCATCTTTCTGTAGCATCACTAGGACTATTTTTAATGCCTCATGACTGCTTCAGGATTATGAGATGTGCACCCAGTTTTCATCATCAGTAGCGGGGGAAAATGAAGGAAGTAATAGATTAAGCAGTAAAACTGATGAATTTGTTGTGGGAATATTTAGCAACAGAGAAAGAATAACATCATCATACTGTATAGTTTGTGTCCTTCATATAAGTAGACTGATCCTTTTATATTAGCAGTAGAAAACTTTATATTTGGTTAAACAAAGAAATATTGCTGCCTGAGAAAATATGCCGGTGAAGAACGTGGAGAATAATAATGAGAAAGCAAACCCTTACCTCAACCCAACCCTCGAAAGGAAAATATTTGCGGTAGAGAGGAAGATCTATGCAAAAATAATAATTGGACCAGCTCTAACAGTCTCTCGTTGTTACCTCATATGTTGGCTTGTGATGGACCGCACAACTGCCCAGCAACAGAATGACTCGACTTTTGAGTTCTGGCTAAATGAGTTGTAAGGTCTGCTTGCGGACATCCTTAGCCTGAATGACTTTCAGTAGGCCATATTCAACATCAAGCTTGATTAGCAGTGGTGATCTATCTCCAGATAGAATGCTTCATTTTGGTATTCACATAGAGGAAGGAAGATCTTTCTGAAGGTGAGTCTTCATTTTTAAAGTAAAATATATTTTTAGTATGTATTTGTCTAAGTTAGCCTTGTAAATGTCTGTGTCCAGATATATTGTCTGATATATAGTGTTCTGAGTGAAGTTTTTGCTAAATTTCAACTACTTTTGTCACTGTAGTAAAACTTAAGCATAAAAAATCTCTGAACTAATTGAAAATTAAAAATAATTCAAGTTTCCTATGCAGAAAGCCCCCCCCCCCCCCCCCTTCTCTCCTCACTCTATAGGTGCGAATGTGTTTGTCTGCATGCATATGTGATTATATTAGCCAAAGTCATTAACGACCAGAGGTGGATTTGATTATGTAGTCATGCTGATGCTGAACTTATTGTTTGAAATGATTGCTCGTGAAGCCTGAAACTCTATTCAATTATTGATACTATATATTATCTTACTTCCCTGTAATGTAAGGATACATGGAATATCAAAGTTTAATAATATTGACATCTCACTCTGTGGTTTTCATTCTTCAAGCATTCATCCACTCAGAAATAAACAGAGAACTTGTAAGATAAATGTCAGTAACCTCTGGTACCAACCACTAGCAATGGGTTTGCTTCCCCCCAACCAAAAAAATAAAAGAAGAGATTTTCACCCTTTCGTGTTTTTGCTCTTTTCAATATTGAGGCGTACCTCAGATAGCATCTTGTTTTAGGTAGCTGTACTGCTTTTCCGGAGAATCTCATCTCTTCCTTGGGGATATTTTGTGGTTGTTGTAGGCTGTCTTCTCCTTTCGTTATACTTTGTTAAAAACTGAAAAGATTGTTTGGATATGAATTTGCTTTACAATACATTGTGAATCTAGACCATCAGTACAAGCAAAGACTTCAATTCTCTAATCTGCTATGCTGTTTTTGTTCTGTGTATGTTATATGACGGCTAAGTTGGCAAAGAGTCATGTTTTCATTTCCAGCATTACCATTGTAAAAAGATGATAATATTACCTTACCTTGATCGTCGTGAATTCATCTAATTTTTTGCATCTCGAGAACTGGTAGACTAATACTAAATTTGAAGTGCCTCTTTGGGTTTTGTTAGCTTTTCTTTCTATGCTCATTTTGACATTTCTCCTTACACTTGTTTCCGCGCATGTTTATTTGAAATCAGGTCAAGCTAACTGGAAAACGCCTCAAGGAAGGTTTAGTTTCCACAACCTCAACGTTGGTGTTCAAATGACGTCAATACTCCAACTCGTTCCGAATAATGTTAATCTACATCCATTAAAAGATTAGGAGGTAGCAAAATTTGAACATTTCTTTATATTTTGGTGTCCTTATACATGAAAAAAAGGATCATTTGAACATTGGTGCCCTTGTTTTTTTGATCTTCTCATTTTCATGTCTTTAAAAGGCTATCAAATTTGTGGAGTTCCACCCTTATGCATTTCGTATTGCTTGACTGATATGGTGCTTGCACTGTTAGTGAGTGGCGAGAGATAATTTAACCAACCGGAGATGGATCCTGGGAGTTCTGCGTGGCAGTAATTCAGTTCCTGCACACTTTCTGAAAAACTATGGACCAAATTCCTATTACACACTTTCTGAGCACAAAAATTATCTTGCACACTCTAACACCTGTGTTTGCCATGTGGCTTCACATGCTTAACAAAAAAAAGATGAGCGCGTAAAATTGTAAATATTTTGTCTAAATCTATATTTTAATGCCACGTGTGATAATAATAATATTTTTCTAATTTTTCATTTTTATCAAATGAAAAAAGCCGCCAAACTTCTCTTTTGCCCCATCCTTCCCAAACTACCAGGACCCCCTCCTCCGCACCCCTCTTTCTCTCCCGTCTTTCTCAACCTCACCTCCCAGCCTCTCTTCCTATGTGTTTACAAAAATCCACCAAAACTCATGATAAAAATTTTAAAGAAGGTGCTGTAAATTTTCTTTAAAATTGCCCCTCCAAACTTCTCTTTTGATTCTTTTTCTATCATTAAAATCCACCAAAACATCTAATTTTTACATAAATAAGAAAATATTTTTTTTTGTATTTTATGAGAAAGACTAAAATTATAAAATTTCCAACTCAGCTTCCTTCATATAAGGGAAGATTTGAGATTCTTATTCATAATGGAGTTGTTTAATTAATGAAAACGAAAAATTGATTTTGATTTATTTTGTTTGGCTGTATATGAGATTTGAAAATGAAGAACGGAGGAGTTGCAATTTTAGTTTTTATCTCTTCCATTCTCAGTCTTGGGTTTATTATGGATGAATTATTGCAAAATTAAATCTATGTGAAGGTTAAGAATCGATGGTTATGGCTTTTTTCGGTGGGTATTAGCAACCCGGGGGAGGAGAAGATGGAGATGTTAGGGGATTTTTTAAATTTGGGGTATAAGAGTAATTTTAAATATTTTCTCTTAAAAAAAATAATAACACGTGTCATGATCTTATTGGTGCGTAACATTACACATACTTTTATAAATTGGTCAAGAAAAAAAAATGTTTTATTAGATACATTCTGAAAAAGGTTGAGTATGTAAGATAATTTTCGTGCTCAGAAAGTATATAACAACGATTTGGTCCATAGTTCAAAGGGTAACTTATGTATTCTGTCTTTAGTTTACAGAGGCATATGGGAAATCTTAGGGGAGATATGTGTAGTAGTTTTATTTTTCTTTTTATTTCTATTGGTTTTACCAATGTTCATAATTTCTATTTACTATTTTTTATGTGAATATTTCGATCATATAGAGAACAATTTAATCCACTAGAGTTGCGAGTAAAATTTACCATATTTCAATATATGCATTGAAACATTCTTAAAGGAAAATTTCCACTATAAGTACTAGATAAGAAGTATTTAATGGTAACTGCAAGCAAAAAGGGTGTATCAAGAATAGATATAGTAACAATACATCCTAAGCAAATACAAAGCATAAGGAGGAAAACTGAAAATTTATAAAATTATCTTATCAATTTGATTCAGTTTCGTCCCATTCATCAATTTTACATAGATTGACTTTATTTTCAATTCAACTTTTATTTTTGAGTTTTTTTAATACCCTAAATACTTATTACAAGTTATATTGTTTGTGTGAATACGAAATACTTTATCTATCAAACTGTCTTGGTATGTCCTAACTTAGATGAAAACTCACAGTTGGAGTTAGTAAAACGCTGAGTAGTTCAAGGAGTAGTTGAGTTGAGGGAAGTTAGAAAATAAAATGCCATAACTGTGGAACACGACTTTCATAAACAAAAATATGGGTTTAATAAAATGTTGAACAAACAAGAAAATTTAAAATAAAATAACTTACGTAGAAAGGAACGTGGATCGAAAACATAATTTTATTTTTTGAAAAAATTGAGCTGGCATTTCCTTTTTTGTTTTGTTTATGGGTAAGTAAACCATAATTCTTTTTTCCCTCAACCTTAAATCTTCTTATTTCGCCATTTAGTAAACTTATAAAAAAAAAAAAAAGGAAACAGAAAAAAACTTGTGAAAGATAAAAATACTTATCTTTTTTCCTAATTCTCACTTAACTACGCCGAACTATTGAACGCTCCTCTTTCCCCTTCATTCAAGAAAACCTTTATTCGATCCAATTGCTGTTTACTCGAATTCCTCTTTCTTCTCCAATTTAATTCATTTTCAGGGTTTCACTATTCTCTCGAAATTTCCCGGAAAATTAATGGATGCATCTTTAACTCTGTCTCTTTCTCACACCAATTCCGAAACTCAAGACCTAATCGGTTCTTACTTCTTGGATCAATGGCGACTTAAATCCAAATCCGCCGCCGCTAAATCAGAATCAGTCGCTGAAGCAGAAAAAACTCAATTAATGGAAGTAGAAGAATCAGAAGATGAAAAAGAAGAGTTACCTACTGAGCTGGATACTTTGAATAGTTCCGGTGGATTTTCGATTGTTGGGCCTGATAAACTTTCCGTCCATTACCCTAATGTGAATCTTCATGGACATGATGTTGGAGTTGTTCAAGCTAATCGGCCCGCTCCTTGTAAACGGCTTGTTTATTACTTTGAGATTTCTGTGAAGAATGCTGGTGCTAAGGGCCAAATTGCTATTGGTTTCACTTCCCCTGGCTTTAAATTGCGTCGCCAACCTGGGTATTTTCTTGTTCTTATACTGAATTGCTCTTTTATGAAATGGAAAGTATTTAATTGTTTTTATTTTTACTTTAATGGTGTTTCTTGCATTTCAATTTTAATTATAATGTGAAAGCTTG